CAGTTTGTCCTGGGCTGCATCTGTTAAGGTCTGCATCTTATTTTCCATTCATCAATTCCTTCTCTTTGCTGAGAGTGCGTCACTGGCTTGATGCCAGGGTTTGGAGTCAGGGACTGGGCTGCTGTGCGCTAATACATTTCTCCTCGGTAGCCAGGCAACTTGGATGACCTCATGCATCACTCTGCTGTCTGCTGTCTGAAAACGCTCCTTTCCCAGACACTCCATTTAAGCGCTTTTCAGAATACTGTAGGCATTTTACTGCAGACCAACAGCACAAACAAACATTTTACTGACACTCTGGCTCACTGTGGGTGAGCTGAACCAGCAGTTTGAAAAGGCTGGTCAGCTGATAGATGCATCGTTCTACCCTCTCTCCCCAAGCATTTCATCAACACCACAATGGTCATTGCTCTTTTGAACTTTCTCTTTTGTTGTTCCCGAGTTCCAGATACAGTACTTCAACCTTCAACCCTCTTTTTCCTCATCTTCTTGTTACCAAGGCTCATCCCACCACCTCTCACTCTAAGCCATTCTCTCATTGCTCGGTCATTAAGATGATGGAATAGGTTTGGTGATGCTGTTGAAGTTAGAGCTGCTGTCAGTAGGATCTCTCTATTGGTGGAGGAAGCATGCACTGGAAGAGGACCCATGCAATAAAGGAGGTTGCACTGGAGGAGGATAGTGCAGATTAATGCGCCATCTACCTCATTGCAGTTTGTGAGACATTGTTCATGCAGATTAGCTGCTGCGTTTGTCTGCAGAATGATACCAGAACGTCACATTAACTCATTGTTTGAATTACAGGAAGACATTTTTGACATGAGGTGCTGGATCAAGTATTATTATTATTATTGGTTGCATCTGTACAGAGATGTAGAGTATTGTTCTGTTATTTGTACAGTCTAAGTCCCAGGACACTGGAGAGGAAGATTCACTGCACAGAATGTACCCAAGGACAGAAAGAATCCATTTTAATCGCATTCAGATTTAGGGAAAATGCGCTATGTGTCCTAGGTTGGCAGATAACCATCTTGAACAACCTAAATGTCTTATCCTGCAACGGCAACTTGCATTTGACATCTGCCATAAATGAAACATCTCTACCCTCTTCCCTTACAGGCATTTAAATAGTTGGAATCGCACAGATGGCTAGTGTTGAACAATAACAATTGCACTTACATGTCACCTGTCAAACAGAATGAACGTCTCAACTTGCTTCATAGAGATAAGGAGAGCTAAATATGGAGAATTAACAATGTTAACCAAAAGCATGATCAAATTTTTTTTTAAAAGGTTTTGAAGACAAAGAGGTTTTTGAAGAATTCTAGATAACAAGGTTTTAGTGGCTCAAGGTTTGACCACAAACCATAAAGTGATTGACCAACTTTATCCGAGAGATTGTTGATTAGGCCACCAGGAGAAACTCCCTTCACTTTTCAAATAATGCCACCTGAATGGACAGATGGTTTAATGTCTCATACAAAGGATGGCACCTCTGACAATACAGTGCTCCCACAGTACTGCAATGGAATGTCAGCCTAGACTATCAACACCCAGTGTAGGGCTTGAACCCACAAGTTCTGACTCAAGTGGTGAGAGCACAATCAAATGAGCCAGGCTTATATTGAAGTAAAAGGGGAGATTAGGAGGAAGTTTGTTCTATTTCCCATCATCCTTTTACAAAAATACATCCCTTATGCATTTCCCATTCTCCTCATGTTATCCTATTTAAAAGCTATAACCCACAGACTAGATATCAATAATATAATAATCCTTGCATTTGATACAGCGCCTTATCTGGTCTTCGAGACGTCTCAAGGCGCTTCACAGGATATACTGTAAAGTGAATTGACTGCATTTTTGTGGGTGAAATGCAAAAAATAAAATGAAAAGAAATAAAAAGATTGGTATACTGAAACTCTGGCCAAGCTTCCTTCTTTAGGGATATTGGAACTGTTTGCAAAGCTTTTATAAATCTTTTGAGCTAGATGGTTAATGCAAGGGATCAGTGCCACATCGATATCGAAATCTTCCAAGTATTGATGGAGGATGTCTGGGGAAGATTTCTACTGGACTCTGATCAGATGGACAAGATGGGAGGATTTGACACACATCAATCCAATTAGAGTTCACTTTAATGTCAGCATCTCAGAACTCTTAGCAATTTATTCACTCAAAACAACCAAATCATCCTCCCCGCCCCACTCCACCCCCGTCCGAAAATACATGCCTTTTTAATACTTAACTAATTAAATGGGGGGCTATACTTCCCCCTCCCTCTCAGCGCCATCGTCAATGGGGAGGGTGGAGGGGGGTGTGAAGGAGGGAAGGGGAAAAGACAGGCGCGCAGACACACACATACACGTGTATATGAGGTATAGTGGGAATATAGAGAATAAAGGTGTACATTCCCCCCCCCAAACCCCCGATTTTTAGTGGAATACTGTTCCACCTGACTTCAATGCCGTGCTTCCCAAAGGGCGTCAGCAACTTCAAGAACATCTTTCGAAGGGTTGTGGCCAAACAAGCCAATCTGGCAGGTACTGTAATAACAGCAAGAGTAAATGCAAGCAGTGCCACCCAGAGGATGTTCTTGGAGGTTAAGAAAAAGGTCAATGACTTTGAAAGAAAACCCAAAGTAAGGTGCTGTTCATTTCTTTTGGATTTAAAGTTTTGTATTAATTCTGGCCATTACATTGGAGGAGCTTAGTATTTGTCTGCAACATCAAAAGAAGCATCTGTAAGAGGCAGTGGTGTCCAGGGCATGATGCTGCAGTAAGGAACATGGACTAAAGATCAACACTGACTGTATACTGAATAGTGTTCTTTTCCTCTTTATAATGAGAGACTAATGAGAATGCTGCAGGGAGAAAGGAAACTGTGGGGCGGCAAATTGATTCCTTCTAAATCTCTCACTGGGAATTTGGAAGGAGTCAGTGGCATTAGGATTGAAAGCAATCTTCAGGTCAAAGGACAGAACTTCACTAGCCACATTTTGCAGCTGCAATGGGCAGCCGCAGCCTCAGAAAATATTGCTCTTCTGTCATGTCCTTGAAGGTCCTTTTATGCCAGTAATGTCTATCTGTAGGGTATCTCTATTTCCATATCACATACACACACACACACATACACACAGGCAGACTAGCTGATGTGATGCCCTCGCATGGGCACAACGGCAGCATTCAGTTGCAAGCTCTTCCTCTACCTTTCTGTGATGCCATCTGTCCAACCTTAGACCCTAGAGCAACTGACATCATTGTCACAACATCAAGACCAGTGCACCTGGTCAAGGAAAAATTAGGGATAGGACAATCATGTGATCAAGTTGTTGGGGTCTTTACCAAGTGCCTAAACCAGACACTAAGCCAATGTGCCTTTAGAGGGTCCTTCCAACACATTGATGATCAATGACTTCTGGCATAGGTATTCCATGATTGGACTTCTCAGCTCCCTCTGGTAGCTGCAGCTCCCAGGTTCTGCTGCTGACCTCCAACAACAGTTGTGAGCTGTAGATAAACACCTTATGTTCCAGGAAAAATGGCATAATTTGTTTGGTGAACAAATGACTTGCTCTTGGACCGCAGCAAGAAGACCAAAACATTTTGAAAGGGATATGAATATATAACATGTGCTTATGTATTGTCCCACAAGATGCACTGCAACTCAACATTGAAAATTTCACTCCATCGATTCAAACCAACGACCCTCTGACTCTTGCCCAAACATCTAGATACCTACATCTCTCCTTACATCTCCCATACTAAAGGCATAACGTACAACAGAATAACAGCACTGGTCCCTTGTTCATGGGGTATACGGTAACACTATAAAACCTGATTGCAATGATCACATTTTGAAGAGTGGTGCATTAATAATTCTGAGAGACCAAACAGTGCAGCACCACACAGCGACGGAGTGCAGAAAAGGGTCCAAATCTCCAGTAAGTGGATTGTTGGCTGTACTTGTTGATGCAGTTGTAAATTATCCAATTGGTGAGCTAGATATTGAAATATCTGCAGACTAACAATGGTTGCAGGGGAGCAAACATTATGTTTTTTTTTCTCAAATAAGGCGCTGTTTTGAAAATGATTTAAAATTTAAATTGTATCTCACTGGAGGTTTATTTCAACTGCAGTGCCATTGATTTTCTGCTCTGCCCAGTACAATGGCATCAATTACTACGTAACCCAAGTAATCTTGTGCTCCGCACAGTTCTCATGATTCCATTTTTTAAAGTGATAAATTAGGTGATACAAAATACATTGCTGAGACATTTGAGCAATTCTATGAAGCAAGATTTTAGTGTATTTAAGTGTCTGAATCAAAGTGTCTGGATGGGTTTAAATGAAAGTGACTGCTGTGCTCTTCCATCAATTTTAATGTCCTTCAGTCACCTCGCCACTGCTCTCTGAAGGTCCAAATTCCCCCTGCCACCCCCCCCTCCCATTTGCTTTGCTGCTTCTTTCCTCCCTATCTTCAGAAAAGCTTCTGAAAAGCATATCTCTTCAACTATACATTTCAGCAACACACTTAAATTCTGTTCACTCTTTTACTTATCATCTCTGTGAAGTGCTTTGAGACGCTAATCCTTTGTGAAAGGTGTTGTATTGAGCAAGTTGCACAAATATGTGATCACAATGTCTCCAACAATAGCAATGCCAAACCCTGTATTTTATAATTTATTTTATTAATTTATCAATTTATTTCTGCAAATGCTGCAGTCTGGAAGCAGTTTTTTTTAACAAAGCACTTGGGTGCAGGATTAACTGGTAAAAATTATCCATACTTTCAGGAGACAATTGGATTCCAAGCATACGTTAGGTGCTGGTGTGGTTCTGGGAGCTGATTTGAACCATGTTGATGTGGGTTACGATGAGCGTCAGTTTTTTTAAAGGGTTTTGTTCTTGCAACTAGACTTTTTTTTAATTGGGGGAAGGGGTTGGTTCCTGAATGTGGTTTAGAGGTTGTTACAGAGTTTGATTCCCATGGGATGGACTCACCTCGGGCATCAGGAGAGAACTGAGCGGAATGTCTTGTTACAAATAGTCTCAACTGCTGATTCAGGTCAAAGGTAGTGAGATCGACATCCCAGGAGCGAATACCTGGATTTGCACAGAGAGGAGAAAGAAACATAATAAGGTCAATGACTCAGACATATAAACATAATAGAGACCAGATCTAGGCTTCACTAAACAGTTCTGAGTACAAGGAGAATTCCCTGCAAGGCTATTTGATCATCCTGTCCTCACCATGCGATATCAAGCAAGTGGGTACTTTGGACATACAAGTCCAGGCTGATTAATCTCTCCGTAATCTTGGGTGCTGAGGTCAATTACAACTTCCAAACTGAGTAGTTAACTCATCACAGACCAGGATACAAATCCTGTATTGAGAAAAATAATCTGAAAATCTGGAAAAACTGTGTGGATGAGATCAGAAGTGCAGTATCCACTCTTTGCCACTAGAGGGACTCCATGGTACTGAAGGTCTCTCCCAGTAAACATCTTGAATCTCCCTGGAATACTGGGTTACTCCTGGTTTAAATCCAGGAACACACCACCGGTGCACAGTGGATCATTCCTACTTTAAATATGGCATTGCATCAGCACTGGAGTACAGAATTACTCCTGGTGTAAAACTGGTAATTACATCACTGAGATACGGGATTTTTTTCTGACTATTAAGTGTCAAAGGTTGAGTTGACCGGCCTGAGGATAGCTCAAACCATCATTGCTCTTGTGACAAAACTCAAAACACTTTGATTTGATCCAGCATCTTATTACGTTGAAATGACGCCAAAGCCCTTCATACAACAAGCTACTTAGAAGTGTAGAGACAATTATGTGGGCGAGCGTGGGAGCTAACACAAACACACAAACACAGAGATTAAAATGGAAAAAAAATGTAATCTATTGTCTGGTAAATTTTTGACAGGAACATTGGCTGGGAGGAATTGTCTTCCAAATACTGCTCAACATTCACCTAAACCTCTAAAATAGATAAACAGGACTTTGTTTTAAATATCCCTATCCTTAATCCTCTCCTTTTCCTCATTTACATGCTCCAACACCCCCCCCCCCCCCCCCCCCAAGATATTGTGCTCAGGCAGGGAGAGCCCACTTCCGTATATACACAGTGACACCCAATTTTATCTTTCTACCTCCGTCCTCAATGCAGACCATCTCTGACAATGTAGTGCTCCCCCAGCACAGCACTGGAGCGTTAGTCTCGATAATGGGCTGGAGGATTTGAAGCCACGATCATCTGTCCCAAAGGCCAGAGCTCAATCTATTGTGCCAGATTGGGATTGTATTTTCAGGATTGAAGAAAACATTTCCATCTACATTATTCCGTAGGAACCCAGATGTGCTTCATTCTGACTAGCTGGTATATGGCTTGGAGGCCGATTTCATAATAATAATAATTCTTGCATTTGATACAGCACATTATCATGTTGTTGAGACGTCTAAAAGCACTTCACAGAATATACTGTAAAATGGATTGACTGTGTATTTTGGGAGGATATGGAGCAGCCATTTGTGCACAGCAGTGTCCCACATACAGGTGTGAATTGATTGACCAAATTATTATTATTTTATTATTATTATTAAATGATTTATTATCAGTTTGACTTCAGTGAAGTCTGATGACTCCCAAGGCAGCAGAAGATTGGCATCCATGTTCCAACGAAACACGTCTAGATACCGGCAGAATTTGATATTCCCAAATCCTTTTACCATTGCCTTTGTGAATTCGACGAGATATTTGTATTACATATACATTTCCTTGAAAAGAATCCACTTCAGGCTGGTTAGATGCTGCCCATAATTCACTTCTGACCTCCAGCAGCAGTCGCTACACAAACCGGGGCAGAATCTATCAGCCAGAAATCGATTGTGAATTAGCTGATGGAGGTTGAGACCAAAAATAACCAGCACTCTCCTGTGCGAACAGTCTCCTTCTCCTTTTACAAAAGCCCTTGAAAAACTGCTTGTTGTAAGCGAACACCCCACAACTGAGAGTACATTGTACCGTGATTTAATCTGATGTTTCATCCATTCCCTACGAGCTTTATTAAAGATTTGTTCAGATTTTTAATATCCCTTCTCCCCACTCCGCCCCCCCACCCCACCCACCACCCCCACTCTAAATCTGCTGAGGCCAGCAGTAGCTGAGCCACATTCTGTTTAACTGCGCAGAAAATCTTTTTCCTTGAAAAAAATATCTTTTGTGTGCTTATCGATTCATGAATAAGGGATCACAATTTCCTGGGCTCAATCACCCGTCGAGTAACCCTTTCAGCCATTGACTATCTGCTGATTTATAAGTATCCCCATTTTTTCTACACCAAAGGCAGAAGTGCCACATTCCCTGTATTCTTCATTCTGCCTCTGAATAAAGGAATTGGAATTTTCTCAAGCAAGACAATAATAAAAATCTTTGCATTTGGTATAGTGCCTTTCATGTCGGGAGGGCATGCCAAGACACTTCACGGGATATACTGTGAACTGGATTGATTGTGTATTTGTGAGCAAATGCAGCAACCAATTTGCACGCAGCAATGTCTCCAATAAGCCACAAAATTAATGACCATTTTACTTGGTGTATTTGTTTGCCAGGACATAGGGAGAAACTCCCGTCTAATTTCAAATAGTGCCATTGGATCTTTCATTTTCACCTGAACAGGCAGACAAGACTTTGATTTTAACGTGTAATCTAAAGGACGGCACCTCTGACAATGCAACACACCCTGCAAATCGGAGTGTCAATAGAGAGGCAGTGTGGACAATATTCTTGTATTTCTATGGTTAGAAAGTCAAATTAAATCTTTTAACATGAATCTCTTCACATTTTAAGACACCAAAATAAGTGAGAGTGGGGGAAAAAAACAGATGCACGTTGGGACCTATCTTGCAATATTTCCTAATTTGAAATCCCGTTGTCCTCACATTCTAATCTGGTGGCATCCAGAATGCTCACCTCAACCCTCAGCCCTCCTTCCGATCATTAACTTTTACTACATGTAAAGCCAATTCAAGAACAGGAGAAGGCCATTTGGCCTATTGTGTACACTCCATCCCAAGGCACAATGCATTCTATTTCCCCATCCATCTCTATTTACAGAAGTATGAGTTTTTGTCTTTATAGTATACACAATATATGTCACCTTGATATGGGCCCTTCATTAGTGTATTACCCATTTGATGTCAAATATTACTATTTACATGACTCACAAAGTAGGACCTACAAAATAACCTTAAACAGCAAAATACACCACCTTCCCTTGCACATCACAGTCCAATATGGCCTTTGGGATCTGCTTCTAAAATCATTGCCAATGTACTGGATTAATATCGAAGACCGCTTGATGCTTCATGGAAAGAAGATAGGGTGGGTTTTCTGAAAGGATGAGATCAAGTGGGCTGAAGGGGCCTTCTTCATATGAACCAATCTTGTGAACATGACTCGGTGAATTTATCAGGGCTAAAAGCAGTTTGGTTTCACTCAGTACATTTGCAAATTTGCAGGGCTATAAGCTTCGTAGGAGAAGTTTACACCCCTAGCCTATTTGATCTGACCTTCGAGAATACCCACTTATGGATATCTTCCCATTACAGCATCAAAGATCATTTTTTAAATGGCTCCCAGTAACCTAATCTCAGCCAGCCTTCCTGGTAGCTTATTCCTGCCACCGATTACCCTCTGTATAAAGAAATACTTCCTGGTGTCTACCCTAAATGTGCCTTCCATAGTCCTACCTCAGGGTCCTCTTATCTTGGGAATTGCAACAATGTTCCTACATCAGAGCACAACAGACAAAAGCCATATTTAGAGGACAAGTTCTAGCACTTGTTGGCTGTGTGCAATATCCTTTATGTTGGACTTCCTTTGGTAATTCTCAGCAAACCTCTGCTGTAGATCAGCTCATTAAGAACCATAGAAGAGGTTAACCATTCCTCTATCCCCATGGATTGAGAAACTGATTTATGCAGCAATGCTCAGAGTCTAGACCAAACCCTGCAGGGTTGTGAGTACCACATTATTGGATGGATTGACCTTGACTGCTGTATTTTGGATATTTTCACTGATCTGAATTTCCACTCATCCAGATTTACATACATTGTAACAGCATAGATATAGGCCATTTGGCTCAACCAGTCCGTGCCACTGTTTATATTCCACACGAGTTCTCCACCCCTCCTTACTCCCCTCCCACCCCACCCCCACACTGTTCTACTCCCTTCTCCCTCGTGTGAAAGTATAGCTTCCTCTCAAATGCATCCATCGGAACCTACCAGAGGTCAAACAAACCAACAGATTTATTTTATACTCAACTTTGTTTTCCAAATGTTTTCCACTTCCTTTATATATTTCCTGTGTGTCTTGCTCCTGACCGCCTGTCAATGCCACCCTCAAGCTCAATCAAGGTGGGTCACTCTTATATCCCCTCACCCACACACCACACACTCACTCCCAAGCAAATAGTTACCCTGGGGCTTCTTCCTGTCTTAACTCACTCGGAGGAAAGACTTAGCAGGACCACAATAATTTTGATGGATGCCCAGCTTGTCTGGCTTCTCGACGAGACTTGGTGATGTAAGCATACCTACACCCCTGTGTACCAAAGCCTCATGGATAGAAATTTCCTTAAAAACTAAAGGGATTAAGGGATATGGGGATAGAGCAGGTAAATGGAATTAGGTTAGAAGATCAGCCATGATCTTATTAAATGGTGGGACAGGCTCGAGGGGCTGAATGGCCTACTCCTGCTCCTATTTCTTATGTTCTTATGTTCTTAAGTGCAGTATAGTTGCCCAAAGTTTAGTTTGATCTGAAAGCCTGATGTTTATTATCTGTACACATTGGAAATAAATGGTCAGATTACAATGAATATAACAACTATTTCACCCCCATCTCACAAATCACCATAAAGGGAAGTGAGCAGACAATCAGATTTTTTAATACGGAAAGAAAGTTGTAAATAAAGTAGCGAAAAGCCATTGGTAGTGATGAGGTTGGGTAATACTAGTCATTTGCTACAGCGGTTAGAGTCAAATCCAATGAGATTATTTCCCCTCAATCATCAATCTGTATCATGCAT